ATAAATGTATAATGTTATGAGATTTAAGCTATTTAGTCTAAACATTTATGTTTTTGTGTTATAATTTGTGTTCATTGTAGAACGAAAGAGGCATAATTTATATTTATATCCCAATTTTTATGGTGGTTGTGAGATCAGTCAAATCTACTGAACCTGTACAGAAATTCATTACTGAAAATAACATATAAAATATCAAGTTTTTTTTAAGAAATGTTTGATAACTATCTGAACATTAAAAAGATTTCACAAGTGTAATTTGAATATTTTCTGATGCATAAAAGTATTTTTAATCTTAAAATTACTTTGCATGTTTAAAGGCAACATACGAAAAGAAAAAAAAAGACATGAGAAAAAATTGCTTTACAGACCTTAAGAGTTAATAAAAAAAATTGATTTTTTGTGTATGAAAGCATTGTAATATTTGCTAATAATGTACCAAATTTTGTTAACATCCTCATACTAATTTATAAATAGTAGCATGAAAACTATAACAAGTACAAAATTGTTATGAGGTTGGTCCTAGTGGCTGAGCCCATGCTGAAAGAGTTAAAATTTTTACCACATGATAGGCAAAGTATAATGGTAAAAACTTGTTATCCTACTGTCAGATCCTCTTGTCCTGGCATCAACTGATATGAATCATTTGGTAAATTTCAAACAATTTCTTAGATAATCAGTGACTGTCAACAGAGTAAGCTAACATAACATATGGACAAAAAAACTATTTTGATCCTCCAAGGATGACCATGCACAGCCCTAAGAAAAAGTAAAAATTGAACCCGTTCACCTTTCTTTCTCAGGAAATTAAATCCCCTCTTAAACTTTTGTAAGGTGCTGGCATTCACTGCTGCTGGAGGCAAGTCATTCCATAAGCTAATCATTATGATACAAATGTAAAATTGTTTTAACTCTTATCTATATGGGGTTGGTTTAAATGACTCACCTTGTAACAAACACGTAACCATGAAAGTATACATACTGTAACTTTTAATGTAGTAAGTGCATCTCATGAAATTTGGAAAGCTTTTAATGAATATTTCAATAAATATTTTGTACACAAATTCAGGTTGTTTCATTGAGCATTTTTATTTAAGATTTGTCTGGGAATTTATGTAGTCATAGTCTGAGTGTAAGGTGATTTTCATGTTAGGATTAAAAATAATTCTTTCATCTTATAGTTTTCAAATTTCATTTTCATAATCTCTAGAACCTCCTAAGTGTATATAAGTTTTTTTCTTGTAAAACTTTATATTTTGGTTACTTTCTCTACCCTCACACTACAGATTTAGTCATTTTGATCAACTTTGTACCCACCACAAAAGATACAAAAATCTAAATTATCCTCTTTTTTATTCTAGGATGCCTGCATATTGTAGCAGACAATTGCACATTATTTATTTTTACAACCTAAGCTAACAGATTTTTCATTTATTTTTATATACAGTTGAACACTGACCTCATCAGACTATGCAGATAGCTATTTGTTATGCTGGACAGCTATGTGTGACATTCAGTTACCAGCATGTTTATGTACTCATTGATCAGAAGTATTTTATTTTGTTTAAGATTACTTATCACCACTCTCTAATTTTTACATTTTAGTTGCTTGTATAACAGTAAATATATATATATATATATATATATATATACAAGAACTATTATTACCTACTATTTGTAATTCTTATCTTTAAGATTTTGCACTTGCACAAACCAAGTCAACATCAAAGCTTAGCCCTAATTCATTGTAATGTTAATGTAGTCTCAAATTATTTTTTGAAGATTTAGATATGCTCTAAGGGAGGTGTGGCATGTTTTCTTTGCTCTATTACTTATGTAGCCATAAAGTAAAAAGGTTTCTTGCTACAAATGGACAGTTTAGCTTGGGAATATGTATAGTATAGGTGGGAAATTCTACAGCAAGCTACTAGACCATATAGGGGGTAGCAGAAAATGTAGAAATGAGCAGTTTTGACTGAAGAAATGTCACTGTGATGCAGAAAGTGAAGATGAGTATTTATTCCAATATTTCCTTGTGATAAAGAAATCAAAACTTGTGTTAAAAACTGAACTGTGAAATACATTTTTATGTCAAGTTTATTGATAATAAAGTAGCTTTATAAAACTTTGAATGTAACTTTGTAAAGTGGTCATGATATGCACTTTGACCCATCTGTGCTGAAAGGGTTAACTGGGTTATAACCTGCTATTTCAAATGTTCAGTTTGTGTCCTCTTATTTTTTTGCTTTAAGAAGTCACATAAAGAACTCTGAAACATTTGTTCCATCAGTCTTCCAAATAGTTTTGTAAACTTCAATAAGATTGTTTCTTACTCATTTTTCTTCAAGAAGAAATATGTTCCAAATCTTAACTTATCCCTTTCCATCTCCATAATCATTCTAGTATCCCTCCTCTGAACCATTTCCAGTAAGTGAATATTTGCTCTCTTGGATGTGGAGACCAAAATAGTACACACAATATTTTAAGACAGGCCTTAATAATAATTTGTATTAAAAGGTAAATACTTCATTTGTCTTGTTTGAATAAAATACAATAATTATGATGAAAATTCAGACAGTGTGTTTTTACCTCACATGTAAAAATTTTATTTTTTTAATATTTCATCCTATTTCAAACATTTTCAGACTGTGAACTGTACCCACAATAGTGGTATTGTTTGAGAGATAAAGGCACTGTACATTTGGTATTATCTCACTTATTATTATTTGTTGTTTTATTTAAACATGTGAAAGCACTTTCAGAAAAATACTAAGAGATTTATACCATTCTCTTTGATTAATAATTAATATGGTTATATATACATTTAAAAATCTGTTAACAAGAGAGCACTGTCTTGGTTTGAGTGACTTGAATGTACCAAGGTCAGTTTATTCAGTCATGCTATTGAGTAACAACTGACCATTTTGCCATAGAAATACCACTGACTAAAGTGTAATAAGGAATGTGTTTGTTTATAAATGATTTAGCCCCAGGAACACTAATGGGGATGTGGTTGCTAGAGTTGAAGTGGGGAGGAACATTTGGGAAAGGTTAATCATCGCATAATTAGGTTTGGTGTTTTGTTACATGTTGAGATAAAAAATAAATTAAATTTTAGTTCCCAATTTTTAGAAAGCCATGAGACAAGATTTATCATTAATAGATTAGGATAATGAGTTAAAAAGTGATGTGGGATTAATATGGGAAATTTATTTTAAATAAATTGTTTTTAAATCAATATAAGCATGATTCTTAAAAACAGGAAGATCAAACCTTATTGGCTTATTAAAGAGTAAAAACAGAGGAGAAAAATAAGGCATCATAAGTTTAAGACTCTAGAAAAGGTAGGGATTTCATTTAAAAAGAAAAGTATGGTGTATGAGAATCAGCTAACTGATAATGTTAAAACTATAAGCAATTATTTTTAAACATGTGAAGGATAAACAAAATGTCTAAATGAAATTTAGTCTGCTAAAGGATGCTGGTGTCATTTTTTTTTCTACCTATAGGATGGCTAGGGTTTGAATTTCAAATGTTTTTTTTTTACAAGATAAAAATATAACCAATAATCCTGACCTTGGGCATCCTTTGGGAAATATTAGAATTGACCTGAATTATGGTTAGAGCTGGGAAATTAAATTAACTGACATAATTGAGCAGTGATTACATCGAATAGTGTCATGTAAAATAAAAGATTAATCAAAATTATATTTAACTTCTCACAAAAATAATCAACTAATCAGAATTAGTGTTTTTGATTATTGCAACTATCCAGTAATCGAATTATTGGCACTATGATTTTTAATTATTGATTTTGATTAATTCAAGTTTGTTCAGTTTAATCAATTAGTCACAGCTCAGAAAAATAATCAAATACTACAATGCACAAATCTTCGACTTCTAGACAATACAAGGGTTGTTAATATGTTTTATTTAGATTTAGAAACAAAACATCAGGATTATAGCTGGTACACATTTCTAAAACTTATTTTGATGGCTGCAGATTTGGGGTCAAATATCGTTCTTCAATGGAGGATAAGTCAGCTTTAAAAGAACTGGATACCTGGATTGAGCAGTTGAATGAGTGTAAGCAGCTGTCAGAAAATCAAGTCAAAACACTATGTGAAAAGGTATTGGAATTTTGTTACTCATTTTAAAAGGTAGAATATATATCATAGAGGAAAAGGGTTAGCATGAAATTCTGAAGGTAGGAAGGTCTGGAAGTATTTTCCCCTTTAAAATTTTAAGAGTAAACTTGTTAACATATTGTAGAATTTAAGACATGATTATCTATCTGGTAGGCTGAATAAAACAAAATTAACAACAGTTTTATTTTTTTACATATTTGAATAAATTTACAAGTATTGTTACCTTTATATGATATCATAGTATATTCGTTTTCAGCAGTATCTTTTAAGTTATTTGATCAGTGTATTAGGCATTCACTCATTATATATTTGTTGGACATTTTACACTGGGCTGGTATTGTACATTTATCTTAATGAGTAACTGATATGTATTAGGTGTAAGACAATTTTATTGATATATATATATATATATATAAAACTTAGTTCAGGGGTACTGAGAACAAGGATACATGTTTATTATATTGCTTCTAACATAGTCATTGATTAGATTTGGAATGTTATAAAGACATCAAAGATATTGATTGCCCTGTACAATACTTACAAGCCTACTTTAATGTAGTTTGACTAAAATGATTTGTTATAACAACCTGTTAATGGCATACAGATATTTTACTTTAAAATTTCTCAGAGCATCATAATTTAATTTTTAGAGTACTTATTGATCATCAAAATACTGTTTCTAGAAAATCATTTTATACTTTCACTGGCCTTAACTCTTTCATAACGGGCGAATGTATTTTGCAGTATCTCATAACCACCATGGTTACGTGATGGTATACATACTATAACTCTAAAGATACTTATTGTATCTTCACGAAATTTGGCAAGCTTTCAGTAAACTTTAATAGTCTTTTTTTTCTTTCTCAGATTTTAGGTATGTGTGGATGGGCTAGATTCCTTACTTGTTGGAACATATTTCAACAATAAATAGCACACAGTCCACTTGTTTTAAAATAATATATTAAAATAAGTCAAACATTTTTACAAATGTTTGTTACACAGTTGATCACCATAGTTGTATCTAGAGCTTTAAATAATTGTCTATTTTCATCAAAGTCCACACAACCTGGTTCAGTTACATTAGAACACAACTGACAAGATAAATTATTCTCCTCTGCTCTGTTTATGCAGTACATTTGATGATAATTTCACTTATGTTACACTGTTGGTTACCACAGTTGTATCCAGAGATTTAAGTAATTGTCTCTTTTTGTCCAAAGTTCACACATGCTGGTTCAGTTACTTTAGAACATAATTTACAAGATAAATTATTCTTCTGTACTCTGTTGTTATAATACAATCTGCAGTAATTTCACATAAAAATAAAAGTGCCACTACATGCTCTATACAGCTAAACTTAAAAAACACCCAGTCTAGATCTGTTTGACCATATCTCTCACTAACTTTGTCTTCTTGAACTAAATGTTGGATGCATATTTATAAATAGTCCAATTGAGGTTTAGAACTTGGATATTATATATTAAATGTCCATTTTTTTCCAGAGAACTTTATATTTCATTTGTTATTTTCTCTATCCTAACTCGATACAAGGTTGGTCAATTTGACCAACCTCATAACCATCCAAAAAATTTTTGAAATAAATCTAAATTAACCCTTTTTTCTTTCTAGAATGGCTTCAAATTGTAACATAAAACTTGATTCGCTTATCCTAAATAGATTAAATATCGTAACAGTATACATATGTTTATACTTAAATTTTATTGTTTTATTGTCCTTTGAACTGTGTCTAAACTAATATTCCCATCATAAAATTTGAAACTACTTGTGAAACATGCAGCTCATGTTACCCTATTGAATTACAGAACACACGGGCTACCAGCAAGATGGTCACGAGCATACCTTGTGAAAAATTTTATTATTATTATCATTATTATTTATTTTACCTAATCTAACCTAAAAAGTTTGTAATTTTACATTTTAGTTACTTTTATAATAATAAATAGAAAAATATACATGGGAAAACAAGAAATATAGTACTTACCTTGGCCATCTTTTTGCTGTTGACTGTCGATGACACTTAACCTTACTTTTTATACTAATGGTACTACTGCAATAAATAATTTAATTTTAATTAAATAATGCCCCAAAGAACACAGAATACAACTTACAGTTTATAGTTTCTTATGAATTAGGAATTCAAATTACCAATATTGACAAGCTAGAATATAAAATAAGAATGTCTTACCTTTTCTATTTGCTGAAATATCACTCATGTACTGAATCAAACACAATGGCTCTGCTCACCTCTTTCCATTTTTGGAAACACTCCCTTATATACACTTCTACATATGACATGAATAACTAATTGGAAGCTCAGAATGTCCCCCTAGTGGCTTTCTCAGACATTTTCATGTATTGGGATGCCATCTCGTTCTTTCCAACCATGATTTCAAGGAGGTTGGTTGTGTCTTTAGTCTGTTCGAGATTTCATATTAACATTGCTTAAAAATTCTTGAGACTTAATAAAAAAAAATTAAATTTTGCATATATTTTTTACTGATAATCTGCCAAATTTTGTTACACATACACTTACTAATTTAAAAGTTATAGCATGAAAACTACAACAAGCACAAAATGGTTACGAGGATGGTGCAGAAAGAGTTAAACTGAAATTTTTACTCCTTAAGTGATACACACTATGAAAACCTAAAGATAAATTTTTACCTTGAATTAATAGTAACTATTTGTTTACACTTTTAACACTGTTTGACTGGCTTTGCATTTTGATGAGTTTTGGTTACTGGTGTTAGATTATATCACAATACAGGGATGCAACATAAAACAATAGACTTTTGTTATTGATGAATATAACTGAAACTAGTTGTGCTTCAGATCCTTAAATTAGTCATGCATTATTGTTCTAATAGAAAATGTAATATGAAATAATATTGGTTAGATAACCTTGCAGTCAAAAATGTTTTTGGTTAGTGTGTGTGTGTGAATCTTAAAACACAAGTATCAGACAATTTTCTATATATTTGTGTTATGAAAAAATGTCTGTCTTCCAGTCAAAAGAAATATTAGCAAAAGAATCCAATGTGCAAGAAGTGAAATGTCCTGTTACTGTTTGTGGAGATGTTCATGGACAGTTCCATGATCTTATGGAATTGTTTCGTATTGGTGGAAAGTCTCCAGACACAAACTACCTTTTTATGGGAGACTATGTTGACAGAGGTTACTATTCTGTAGAAACTGTATCTCTCCTAGTAACTTTAAAGGTAAGCACTTGAAGGCTTGTTTAATTTTTTGCCTTATGTGGTATTAAGGTAAATATTATATCCTTTATGTATTAATAGTCTTCAAAACATTTTATGAAATAGATAATTTAGTTATTACATTAGAGTTTTATGTTTACATGCAGATTAGTGGTTAGAAATTATTATAAAAGTCATGACTCAAAATCTAAAAGAAAAGATTTATTAATATCTAGTGTCTTGGCTTCTGTCTTCTCCAAGAGTTAAAACATAATGGATAACTCAAGATTTCTTTGCATATGCTCTGTTTGTTATAATTTATTTTACATTAGAATTCAAGAGAATTATCACTAGTGTTTCCGTACTGAAGATCATGAATTCAGAAACTTATACAAAATCAATAAAATTTTTGAGCTTTAGTATGATCTTTCCAAGGTTAAACTTGAAAGTGCTTTTAATTGATGAAGTACATTGAAAGACAACAATCTTTTCTAAGCTCTATATATATGAAATATGAAAATTACTTGAAAATGTGTTGCTAAATTTTTAATTATTCTATAATAGTAGCCAAGTTAGATAAATATTTTAAATAATTTTTGTACAGAGAAATCATTTTTACATCAAGGAATCAACAAAATTTTCAGTAGCAATAGTGAAAAACTGTCAGTAGATTATTCACTTGAGCCATTAGAAAGCAAAAAGGACAGGATTGAGTGTTTTACTAGCATAATAGTGCTTTGTTGTTGATGACATAATTGGTCATTAACATATTTGAATTTGACTGTTTATTCTAAAAACATCCTGCAAACTCATAAACAATGTTGCTCAGCTCAATTGTTCAGAGCTGGTAACTTGTACACCTGTGCAACCATTATCTGCTAATGTAACTGTTTTTTGTATTTATTTGAAGGAATAGCTAGAAATAGGAAGGAACAAAAGTAGCAGATGCCCTCCCTTTCCACGCAAACACACAGTAGTGAGACTTTGGTTTGGTTAACCTAACAGTATTATGTTGAATTAACTTTTTTCCTGTGGGAATATTTACATGATCAGTTTGAACACTTAATATTTATAATGTTATACTGATACAGTGATTATATAAATACAATTTAATCATGAAAAAATGATTATGTTACATGTAGTTTTTTTCCCCAATTATTGGTGGGTTCATTACATCCCACCCTGTACTACAATCTAGATGTATTTATAGCATTTGAAATTTTACTCACTAGTAACATAAAGCTGATTTGGAATCATTACATAATTAAATGAAAGATAGATTTACTTTCATATTTAAACTTTCTTTTTTACTTCTAAAAAAAAAAATATTAAAACTTAATGTTTTCTAAATCTACAATTCCAGTAATTTATGTATCTTAAGGATATTTTATAGCTGAACCTTATTGGCTGCCAAGATCTGTGGCTATTACAGTGAAGTTAAAAAAACATGGTCTTTTTTTAGTGTCTTACCATATTTTTGTCTAAATGAAACAATTTAGTTGAATGTCACAGTTAGATTTTATTTATTTTAAGGTACGATATCCAGAAAGAATAACAATTTTGCGAGGAAATCATGAGAGTAGACAGATTACACAAGTTTATGGATTCTATGATGAATGTTTAAGAAAATATGGGAATGCAAATGTTTGGAAATATTTCACAGATCTTTTCGACTACTTGCCTCTGACTGCCCTTGTTGATGGACAGGTTTGTATTTTTTTGTGATTCTTATCAAGATTATTATGCTACCCTTAATTTCATTCTCAATATAGGAATCGAGTAAATGTTTCTATGTAATGTTTTGTATATTTTTATTAAGTTTCATCAATCAAACACTTGGTCTTACTGTAAAGATTGAATTTTTTTATAAGGAGAAACTATAAAAATTACATAGTTGAGCATAATATAGATTCTTTTAATGTTATGATGTATGTTGATTTCCCCTTTTAAATTTTAGATATTTTGTTTGCATGGAGGATTATCTCCATCAATTGATACCTTGGATCATATCCGTGCTCTTGATCGTCTGCAGGAGGTTCCACATGAAGTAAGATTATTATAAAATAGTTCTTTGATTTAGTTAGTTCTTATAAAGTGTAAACAAATATTTGCCAAGATATAAACTTTGGTCCATTGATGGCTCAGTGGGAGCTTAAGGGTTTAAAGATTCTGGGTTCAATCTTTGTGGCAGTAAAGCATAAATAGCCAATTTCATAGGTTTACGAAAAAAAACAACTACAAAAATTGGTTTGTATAGTATTACAGCATTAAGTGTATATAAAAACAATTTTGAATATGCAGATTAACAACTCACAATAACCACAGCTGATATAAAGTTATGGTGGAATGACATCTAACAGAACTAAATTTTAACATTTTAGGGTGTTTTGTAATTAGTGTGATGCCACTCAACATTGGTCACTTTTGGGAAAGGTATGTAACAGCTCTTTCTCAAGCAAATTATTTATACACTCAGATCATAAAGATGTGTTAGTACTGGGGATTTAGAATTTCTAAGACTGGGATTTCTTTTGTACTTATTGGCATTTGAAAACAAAGGAATATGAATCAACCTGGAACACTAATACCACCCAGAGAGAAACCTGCAACCAGTTGTACCCAGACATGGTAAGCAGAATGTGGATGTCTTGTGACATGTGAGAATCCACGAACACAAATGTCACTTGGAAAAGCTATCTACACTACCCAGACAACAGTATGCAACATAATCAAGAAATATCTCCACCTAGAAATGAGACCAGTGGGGGTATGGGTTTGCCAAGATAAGGCTTCCACTCTAACCTCCCATTAAACCATTTCATACTTGAAGCATCAACTCTCCTATATGAAATGTCTACCTTACAATTCCTTTCTTAGGCATTCCTCATTTTTCTAAGGTAGTTTCGTGAGATACCTCTTCCTCCTTCCCTCCATGTTGGGGTATTTGCCATCTTCAGTTCATTTCCTTCACAAATGACTTATTTCTTTTGGAATCTTCTGGGATACGACACTGTCTTGTACCATTTGTTTACCATTCACTGCTAATAGGGATTTATGGTCAGATCTTTTTCTCCACAGATCCATTTTTTGGGCTACTCCTGTGTGTTTAGCATTACGTGGGGTATCTACAATGCTATATTCTGTTTTTTTGGTTGCTCTTTTGTTGCATTCTGAGTCATTGTCATCTTTATTCATGTTCCATGTCCAGCACCTTCCAGTCCTTTACCTGTCCTACCTATGAAATTCTCCATTCATTGTGTATGCTCGATGCTGATTGGAGTTCTGGATCAATCAGTCCCACCTCAATCACTTCTTTGTTCTTCCCCATTTCAATATGTAGTCTTTGATCACAATTGGGTGGGCAATTTCGGTAGGACAGAGAATGCTCATGGTACACATTTTTATTTTTCATTTCTCGGGATGCAATCTTAGTTTGTTTGTTTTTTTTACCATATGATTCGGAAACAGTTTCATGCCTTGTCCTTTGGACTTCTTTCAGTTTCATATGTCTTTTGTCATGTGTTCTGTGTTTTTCCCCACTTTTGCATTTTGGGGGATGTTACTAACACCACTACTTGAATGTCTGGCTTCGGTTAGCTTCTTCCAAATGGGGGTGGTCATAACATATTCATCTGCTTCTTAGACAAGCAGCTCGGGTGGTTAGATTTTCCAGTTGGATAAGTTTCTTCTGTTACCTACTTAACAATCTCAGCATTTTGTGGAGTGTCTTTTTAATCACCCATCTCCATCTGGACTATCCATTCTCCTCCTCGAATGCATTCTTACAGCTAGCAAGATTATAACACATAAGGGGATGTGGCTTTTGTGGAAGCACTTCTCCTTATGGGTCTGACACATTTGTAATCTTTTCAGAAGACACTGCACGACCCATGGTCTCTTGCTAGGGTTCCTTTGGATACTTCTTTTATCTTTCGTCCTTCCTTCTTTGACTATATGCATTGGTGGTTGAACATATCCCCCACGTCATCTGGTTTACAGATTTTCCCACATTGTCTGGATTTGTTTTTCTTCCCTGATGCTCATCTCCAAAGTTGAGGGGTGTGGGTCGATCAGCAGGAGGCTTCAGGACAATGGTCTACAGACAAAAGGACTTACCATATTAACACCCTGGCACTTCGAGCAGTCAAATGTGCTGTAGTTTGCTTTCTTCCTCTTGTTGACTAATCATGTTTCATTCTGAATATTTGATGGTGGCTTATATCACTCGCTAAGAGAGTACTCGTTCTTGTTTCCTTTGTAGTAGACAGTGGATTTCCCTTTTTGAACCCACACACTTGACATACGTCTCCCGGTGTGTTGTGTTCCAGAAGATTTTGTCCTCATTGGAGATTGCCTCTCCAGTCCTGACACACTTTCTCCCAAGGAGTAGCCTACTGATCCTCAAATTTTCTATGGCTCTGCCTCCTGTGGGGTACTCCTCTATAGGAAGTGTTTGACTCCTTTCTCAATTTCAAGTTACTTCTTTTGTTTTTGGTCTCCATTTCATTATTTACTTATCCTGGCTGTCGATGTGTTCAGACAGGATTAGATATAGTTTATAACTTTAGTTTTTCTCATTCCATCACTCTTCTTCCCAACGTGATTTTGATCATCCATGTCACTCCGGGTCAGTTTTTTTATAACTGATCCTTCCTCGCCAGCACAGATATTGTTTTCTTGGCTGTTTTGGCTCAATATGTTCTTTTTATTCTGAATTGATTTTGCTAACCTACACTTTGGGGGCTCATGTGAAATATTCTTTTCGTCATTTTCGTTTCTTGGCATCTTCCAAATTTATTCTCGGTTGGGTCCAAATGCCCTTCTCTGTCCCGTACTTGCTCTGGGCTGCTTCATTGTTTTTAAAGCTTCCTTCCTTTGACTCCATTTCCTGCAGTTTCTTTCCTTTCACCACCACTCTGTTCATGATTTTTTTTCCCCTTCCTCTCTTACCAATTGAGTTTGGCTTGTGATTTGATTGACCTTTTATTCCTTGTCTCCTTCTTCCTGTAATCAATTCCTGGTGTCTTCACTCTGTTCAGGCTCCTTACATTTTACCTGCTTCTCAACTCCATTATCTGTTTTGGGTAGCTATTACTACCTCGTTGAGGTACTGTTTCCCACCTGTTGCCAACTTTCACTCTTCCCTTCATGAGTTAGTATGGTCTGGAATGGGCATACTCATGAAGCAAAGATATCATAAGGAATAACCTACAAGCAATCTCGTGGAACACCCCAACTCTAGTTCATGTGATTATAATGAACAGTGTGCATTTTGTGGCCATGGAAATTATGAAAGTGAAGTCCACATGGTCTTACAGTGCTGGTTTTAGTACATTCTAAGTGACTGAAGTATACCTGGACAGGCACGACATGCCACAGTACAAAACATGGGACAAGCCCCTGAAAAATAATATATATAACAAAAGAAAGAAAGAAATAAAGAAAATTTACTCAGTTACAGTCTCACCTATTGCTGCCCATCCCTGCCATTCCTTAGATTGAATAAACCAGGTTTGGTCTGCTTTTCAAAATAGGGTTTTGTGGTAACCCATTGCACTGCCTCAGGCGGTATGAACATTCCTCCAGACTCTCCACCTCCTCCCCCACCTCTCCTCCCATTTCTTCCAGTGGAGTTTGAGAGTCCTTTCCATTTCCAAGCCCCTGGGGTGGTGGAGCATGGAGGTATCCTCCTGAATGAGAGATATATAATATAAATAATAAAGACTCCATTCAGTTGAGAGTAGGGTGGTGGTGTTCTGCTGGTGTAGATGACAAGAGTCTTCCAAATGGATGCTCTATCTCTGTATGGGTTTGTCCGAGGGATGTTGTAGCTTTGGATGTGCTGTCGTGATTGGGATCTCACATGGAAGTTGGTTCCTGTCAGTTGAGTTTTGGATTTAGAGCTGAATCGATGAACATATTGGCCACACTCATGATGTGCTGATTGGGATCTCTCATCCTACCCCCACATGCATATCAGTTCCCAGGGGTTGAATTTTGGATTTAGAGTTGAACCAATCAACATAATTCCTCACACATGGTCAGGGTGTCCCTGGTTCCTCACTCAAATCCCTTCAAGTGAACTACCCCAGTATTATGGGTCACGGTGGGTGCGCTTGTTGATTGCTCTGCTTCTTCTTTTTGCGCTACCCCCTCAATGTCTTTATGCCGAGGATATTACTGTGTTTGAGGTGGTTTCAGTCTGTTTCATTTGAGTGGGATATATCTGTATGTTATTTCACTCTTCTCACATGTGCCTTGTTCACAGATTGGTGGTGGGATTTCTCCTTCTGGTTGGCTGAACTTAACTTGTAGATGGTATGATCCTCTTTCCTACTCCCTCACGAATGTCTGTTTCCAGTGGTTGGATTGTAGTTGACTTACAAATAGTCTGATTCTCGTCGTAGCCCCTACATGGTTGTCGGTTCCCAGCTGTCAAGTTTTGAACACAGCTGACTTGCCGTGTATGATCCGTTGTGCTGTAGTACCTCAACATCTTGGGGCACATCCCTTATTTTACCCACATTCTGTTCATCGGGGAGATTGAAATTATAATATATTGTGGTTAGGATCACTGTCCAACCATTTTTTCTCCCATTGGTATGTGTTCCTCACAATTTTCTGCCTGGATCTGTCACAAATTTTCCACATCTCAAAGAAGTGGTGCGGTCTCCCACGTATAATCCTTTTAGTAGAGGATTCCCTTGTTAGAGCGTCCTTTAGACACTTTCAAAGGATGCTTTCTCTCCCTCCACCTCTTCAATGTGGAATTCTAGCAATGTCTGTGAGCAGAAGTAAGGTACCTTGTCGGAAGCTATAATTTTCCTACACTGAAAATGTATTTCCAACGGTTACTTACTTCTGCTCACAGTTCCCACCCTCCCTTCTCACTCAACCAGTGCTTATATTTCTGCCTAAACTTGAATAGATGGGTAGAATAGCATAGAGAGAGTTACCTGAGTCACGTGGGTGTGTGGCATTACTATTGGTGGAGGTTTTTCGCATGATAATTTTCATGCAAGAATCGGTTAAACCATGTGAATCAAGGGATTCGTGGAAGTAAAAGGCTTGTGTCATGCAAAAAAATGTTTGCAAATAGAGGGCAATACTGAACAATAATAGTTATGTATGTGAGCAGAAGTAAGTACCTGTCAGAAATACATTTTCAGTGTACGAATAATAATAACTTTTGTTTTTTAAGTTTTACTGAATCTTTTACCATTGAACTAGAACACTTTGTAAAGGCAACATGTTGTGTGATAAACATTATAACAAATAAACACCATTGTTTTGGCTCAAATAGTTCCTTAAATGAAAGTTCACAACAGCTACTTTTTCAAGTTACAAAATTTAATGTAGCTAAAAATTAAATAATTAAAATTATGTGATATTTATTTTTGTATTATGCACAAAGATTATAAATCATTTTTGAACAAAACAAATAGTTTTTTTTATGATAATGATTACCTTCGGTATTGATACATCATTGATCACTACGTGGTAGAGTGGTGACTTAGGATGTCAATGATGTTGTGAGAGCGAGAGCTCTTAGTGCATGTTTGGTAACATTCTTATTTTGGGGTGTTTCTGAAGTCCAGGCCATTGCAATAATGGATATGGAGTTTTAAAGTACATTAAAATCTTAAATTAATTCTGACATAAAAGGTTTGCAATTTTTGAGATCATTTTGAAAGAGTATAAGTTAATAACCTCACATTTAGTAAATATTTCCATGGCCCTATTTACAATTTTACTATACCTGGAGCTCTCAACAAAGTGTTTTTAAAGGCCTAAACTCTATCTCTGTATATATAGTTTGATTTGGTGGAGACAATATTTATGTTCAAGCATGTACTACTATTGAATATAACTTTTATACAAATTGTTTTTTTTTTTCTTAAATATCCATTAGGGACCTATGTGTGACTTGTTATGGTCTGATCCTGATGACCGTGGGGGCTGGGGCATCTCTCCACGTGGTGCTGGATACACTTTTGGACAAGATATATCAGAGACTTTCAATCATACCAATGGTTTAACTCTTGTTGCTAGAGCACACCAACTGGTTATGGAAGTAAGGATATGTTTTAAGACAAGAAAATAAGGAATTAAATTAATTTTTTAAAATATTTTTAAAAATCACAGTTGTGGTCAGATGACTGTTAAGATTTTTTTAACCATGGTTTATGAATGTTGTATTCCAAAAGAAAAAAACTGTTAGCTTTGGATTTTCAAAAGTAGATCTGTAGCAACATCTCAATAAGCAAAACTTTAACCAGACAATTTTTAAGTGAAATGCACTACAGGACAATTTCTGTGTCTTCTGAGATTTTTTATTTGTTTATATAAAGTTAAAAATTAATATTTTATCTTTAATTAATCAATTAATTGTAATGAAGATTGTAAAAAATGGGGTGTGGACTTTGACAGAAATAGTGATTCTACTAGAAAAAGATTTAAGACTTCTTTTTTTTTATTGTAATGATGCATCTGGAAAAACTTGCTGAAATTAACTTTATTTTAATGTTACAGCAAATTTTACTTCTATTTTCATACAGGACATTTATACTGTTGCTACATTTTAAATTTTTTCAATACTGTTCATATTGCAGTATCTTTGGGGGGAGAAAGTTATACAGATTCAGGGATTCTACATTAGCTTTATTTGAAAAGGTAATTTGAAACTAGGATTCATAATACATTACTTTGACAAAGAAAAAGTGAATTCAGATCAAGGGATTTTACAATAGTCTCTCTCAAAAGATAACGTAAATCCATAGGATATAAAATCTTTGAAAATGGCATTTTTATTTTAATGACTAGTATAAACATAGTTTGTTTATTATTGAAGTAAAAGTTCAGTTGTGGTAAATTATATTTGTTAATGTAAAGTAGAACCACCATTATGATTGTTTAAATCTGCTGGTCAAGTTTCGGTGTTTTTTTTTAGTTGCATAATTTTTTCTTTGCAACAGAAATATTTCCATTACATATCTCTGAACTTTATCCAAAGGAATCAAAACCTTCTGAATTTCTACAGGTTTCATATAGGCTTAAAAAAAGGCTTATGTTTTGTCATTATTTTTATTAAGAAAAGATGTGAACATGAATATTCTTTCAAACACATTGCATTTCCCATGTATAACATGATTTGGTGAAAAGCATTTTAGGCCTAATGCATCTAGTGAAAATTCATACATATTAACATTTTGTAACCACATTAATCGTAATTCATCCATTAAAAATTAAACTAGTTTTTTATCATTTTAAATGACTGCCCAGGAAGTTTTTTTATGAGCTAGTAGTAGTAGACAAAATGAAAGATCTTTATTCAAACTTATCTCCCATTTTCTTCAGAAAGCCTTGAAGCATTCTCATTTCATCCTCTCACAAGTTCTCTGTGTGTCTTGACCTCTTTTACTATTAACAAAATAAACTAATCAGTAAAACCTTTAGACTTAGATTTTTGTATAGTTCATCATAATTGATTTTTCATAAATTATTAGAAAAAATCCACATTCTCACTGCTAATCCAAAATTAGGTTTCTTGCATCTGGAAAATTGTCTTTCATTTGATTGTAGATTTGTGTGAAATTTCTATTTTTCTTACAGTTCAACATTTTTAATATAAAAATGAGCTAATTGTACATTAGTATTATTGTTTTTTTCATGTTGTCAAGTTCCTCAGTAAATGTACAGACTTCCAACACCAAAATCCAGGGTTCAGTTTCTTGCTGTCAACAGATCTCAGATAATCTGTTATGTGGCTTTGAGATAAAACAAATGACCAAACACCTGTATTGTCAAATACATTAAAATTCAGCTAATTTTTACTTTCTGTAATAGTTCTGAAACCTCAATTATAACAAACATAATGCCTATATCTTTTAAAAGCTTTGAATTAGGGCTTTTTTGAGCAATACAGTGCATCTAAAAAACAGTGCTGCTAAACAAACTTTAATATTAAGTGGAGAATGTTAATTTTTCTATCTAATGCATCAAGTGTCCAAGTATATATATATATATTTCAAAATTAAACCAACTGTGTGCACAACTGTTCAAGATTTGACCACAGAATGAGTGAGGGTTAGGTGTTTTATATCTTAACATTGGATTTTTAGTGCAGCATATGTATAAATTCAGATGTTTTTAGTTGCTTAATATTAAACAATAGATAATTGCTTCTCATTTTAAAGAAACCATTTCTTCACTAACTTTTGACAGACAAACTAAACATAAAATCCTATTGTAATACATATCTGTTCGAAAAATCTGTAATAGCCTCACTAACAATACTAACTAATTTATCAGTACTTTCTTTTTCAAATTTTAGGGGTATAACTGGTGTCATGATAGAAATGTAGTTACGATATTCAGTGCTCCCAATTATTGTTACCGATGTGGTAACCAAGCAGCACTTATGGAACTTGATGATGCCCTGAAATATTCATTGTAAGTACAACTCACGTGATACAGATATTTTGATTAAAGCATTATTTAAAGAAGAAAATTATAAAATATAGATTTTGCTAGTTTACACTTGCTTCTATATTGTCACTAAAGTTTCTTGTCTTTTCATCCAAAGTGAAATTTTCATATTTCAGTACTGAAACTTCTCTGTGTTTTTATGTTTTGCTTCAGTATAAGTCAGTGAATTTTTCATACTTCAGTACTGAAACCTCTCTGTGTTTTTGTTTTGTTTCAGTGCAAGTCAGTTGTTTAATTCAGAATTAGTACTGCTAAACTGCTGCTTATTATTTTATGATGTATGACTTGTGCTGGTACTTTTAGTTTACAACAGACTGTTCTTTGACTTTACTGGTTAGTTTTCATTAAGAAGAGCTGGTACTTAAGGTCTTGATGTTTAGATCTGATTTAATATAGCTTTTGCTTATTTAATTATCCTGCAGCTTACAGAACCAATTACCAGTAAGTTTTTCACATCCATATTCAGAGTGTGGTGTGATTTCGGTTTGTTCTGTGATGTTGCTGACATATTGTGGGATGATATGTTTGTTTCTACTGTAATACTATTTTTTACATATTTCGATTGCACTGAATCTGTCATGTTTGGTTATCTTCAGTGTAAATGCTAACTTCTTTGTTATTAGACTTGATGCAGACTCATAGTGAATTTGTTACATGCAAAGCCCATAAAAATACTCGGTAAGATAACATTTACATCATAAGCATATATTGTTGCATAAGTACTATACCATGCAGTGTAAGTTCATACTTCATAGGCAAGTATATGTAATGATTAACACTCATGTCTTAAAAAATACTCAAAAAATTAACTAGTGTACTAGCAGTAAGTAGTGATAAACTGATAAAGATTAGCCCAAATTAAATGCATCTCAGAATGAGTGTGACACATTTACTATGTCCAGCTTTAAAGCAATACTTTTAACACTCCTGCAAGTTTTTTTTTTTATGTGTGTTTGTGTGTGTATATAAAATACTGGGTATATCAAACATATATCCATAGCTATGTAGCTATTATTTTATAGGCATTCTACAAAATAGGAAAGTAAGGAAGCAGTAATCATTTTAGAATGGTTTGTAAGTGTTTTGAATAAGATTTTTTGACAAAGAAAATTTTTTTTTTATGTTATAGGTCTGGTTTATGGATTAAATTATTTTTGGGACATATTTTTAAGTATGTTTTATGCCTTTTATGTTCCTCATAAAAACTAATGATTCCTTAAGAACGTTGAGTGATTAATCTTTTGTATAGATCTTAACCTTTATTTACATATGTTTTATCATGTTTCGAGTGAATGAGTCTAAGATATTAAAACATAGAAACATGTTGTAAAATATATGGAAGTTTGGTCCAGTAGCCTTTTATATAAATCTTAGAAACATTGATTACTGTCAAGGATAGGATTTTAAAGTAAAGGTAGAAATCATCCAAAAAAGGAAAATTTGTTTTTAAAAATTAAATTTTTGAGAATTTTCTTTAAAAAATATCATTGAAAACTTTAATTCTAGTATAATTTAACAATAAATTAAAATTGTATATTTTTACATACAGTATTAGAATCATAAAGTTTGTTAAATTGCCTGAAAAAAAAAGACTTAAAATTATCGCAAACTTCAAGAGATCTTGTATATTGTACACAGAAGCATAAACTCCCTTTTAGTTAAAGTTGCCACAAAAAAAAAAACTAAAGTAAGGAACACTTTGGTTGAAGTGTGATAATTTGAAGCTGAAGTTTAAAAGAAATAGTAATTCAATCTAGGCAAAATATGGGACACATTGTATTTTGTTCTTACCTGAAAGAGAATACTGCATTTTGCTATTGAATAGGGAAAGATTCCATAAGATATGTAACGTGTGGCAACCCTACTTTTAGTAAACTCCATTCTAGTTATGTAGGGTTATTTTTTTTTATTAAGTATTAATATGAACTCTCCAGTGAACTGCGATTGTTGTTTATTCAAATGAAAATTGAAGTGCTAGACAGCTGAGAAATACCCAGTACAAGAGAACTGACTGAAATATTTGTTTATTGTACAAGTTAGTATTATGCATCAGAACATTTTACATTTAACAAAAAAACAACAATAATAATGTATTAATTTTATCTATGTGCTGTTGAGAGCAGTGTAAAAATGTCATCATGTCCAGAAGTGAATGTACTGAGCAAGGTACTTGCTTAAATTTTATGTTTTAAACTTGTATAAAAAAAAAGGTTAAAATCAAAGTTTGGGTAGAAAAAAAAACATCTTTTTAACAAAGTAGCATTGAAGTAAGAATTCATGTTATAATTTGTTGTTCACAAAGTGATATAAGTACTTTATTTCAGCCTACAGTTTGATCCTGCCCCACGACGTGGAGAACCACATGTCACACGTCGTACTCCAGATTACTTCCTATAAGCAGTATCTCTATTAATATGGTGTGTTATTTCAGTGGTAATAAAAATAATGAATAATTTACATGTGTTAGAATAGAAAAGTCTTTCTCATCCCTGCTCTGTGATCATAGTTTGGTATAGATATTTGCAATTTACATGAACCATTTCTCTGCTATGTGTATTTGTTTCCTCTCCTTTTGAAATGTATACTGGTATCACAGAGATTATATGTACATGTAAATGGGCTTCTTTTGTGATTACAAATTTAGTGTTGTGGGACATTGGATCATCTAAATGTGAGGAAAGGATCCATATGTACGTGTGTGAAATAGATAATAATCACCACTGTTTGTTTCATCACCTAGTAATAAATGCTTTACTGAACCAACTGGTAAATTTTTCATTAAAAGTATTAGTTAGGAGCTCACAAAATGAAACATTTGATCAAATCTCATTTTTGGAATTTTTTTCATTTTGTGTTTACTAGCCTTTTGTTCCTTCAAATTAAATATTCTTTGAGTTGTTAATATCTTTACAAATAATGTTAGTGTTCTGCCTTAACCTTAAATTTTAATAAGAATTGCCTTGCAATGAGAAACCTTCCTGATTCTGTTTGCATACTGCTTATTATTCTTAGTGTGACATTTTTGTACAATCCATTGATGCTTTAAATATCTTTGATGTTACAAAAAGTATTCTAATATGTTTGTACTGTAGTCTGTTTTTAAAAGCTATTTTAACTGATATAGTTGATTTCACTACTGTGTCAGCTTTCAAAAATGTAACATCATTTTATTGCAGCTTCCATTATCTTCTGCTGTGTGTTGTATTACTATAATAATTGTAATAAAATGTTACAGTGAAATATTTAAAACTCGTGATACAACCAACATTTTTTTTTTCTGATAGAGGTAGATGGTTGAAAAAGTTATTTTCCGTGTGAGAAAATATGTTCCATACTAAGGTGTATTACCAATTTGCACTTGTATTGATTGCTAAAAGTATCTTTGTTCATATTATAAGTGTTTCTGTTACCATACCTAAAATCATTGTTTACATTAGCCAGGATAGTTTTTACCGAAAGTAGTATGAAGTTTTTAAAATAAAATTTATATCCTAAATTAAACTGGATAGAAATGATACAGTGCAATTATTAATTTTAATTTTGAAAAATAAAGTATTTTAGTGTATAAACTGAAATTTAGAAATATTTTTATTAGACTATTAATGTCAGAAACTGTAAAATAATGTTCAAATGATAAACACTAAACTTTTATTACTTATTTTTTTTTTATTTTTAGAAGCATGGATATAACAAGAACTATAAATCACTGACAAAGTATGTTCATATATATTATTAATGCATGTAGAAATATCCCAGAACAAATGAAGATGATTCTCTAGACAAACATTTTGTTTGTATGTGGTTTGTCTTTTTGTCACTTTTAAAACTACAATTTTCGTTTTTATAAATATGATTTCTCAGAGCAATGACTGGTGTATATATGGGAATCAAGTGCTTCTGATTATTTTTCAGTAAATCTGCTTTTTAAAAGCAATATTTGTACATCAGCATTTATATCTCTAAGATACAAAATCAACAGTAAGTTAGAGATACTTGTTTCTCTGAAGTAAGAGATCACCAACAACATCATTGTTCTTTTTTGATGAAACATATATCAAGTTTTTTTTAAGAAAATGGAACATTTCTTACATTGTTTCACCAGGTTTGTTAAAATCTGTTATCAGGTAACAACTATAAGATTTTTTTTTTTAAAGGAAGTAGAAGATGGCTGATAATGTTGTTCTCTAAGGTTGTACGAAACCATTTATTACCTATACACAGATACTGCCAGCTTTTTTTTTGTTTTTTATGACTGAAATAAAATAGTTTTGTCCAAATAATGTAGGATTGTCATGACTTGTTACCAACTTGAAACAGACTTAGCCCATCGTAGGTTAGTTAAAAATACTAAGTTAAGTTGTCAGGATAAGTTATCAGATAATAGTCTGAGTTATTTATTACTTTGATGAAAGTATGTATAGCCTAAACATGTTGTTCAGTAATGTTATCATGAACTATGATTTGAACATACCCAACAGTTTTTTTTAATGAAGCAAATGAAATCTTTTACCAGCTGTTTCTATTACGATTATATAACCAGTGTGGGAGTTTTATATACCACTGCTTTTCACGTGCAGGAAAGTTTGAATGTAATGTTAAATCTTGGGGTTTATTAAAAAATGCAATCATACAAACAAACTAGTTTTTTTGCATAAAAATACTTCTGGTTGGTTTAGTGAATATGAAAAACTGAAAATATACAAAGAACCAGGAACTGTTTGAAGAAAGAAGAAATTTGTTTGTATTTTAAGTTGCATAGTTGAATGGTGCGAGTAAAAAAATCAGAGATAAAAATTATGAAACAGTTTTTTGTTACAAAAATGCTCACATTATTAAAAGCCTTAAAACAGCACACCAGTTAAAATGCTTTCTTAAATACACATCATAAAACAGCTAAACTCTAAATTTGGTGTTCATTTTATTTTATTCCCTGATACACTTATTTTAACTGGGTGATATTTTTGAAACAGTGTAGTATCCGAGATGTCTAGAAACATAAACAGGGATATTGTCAGTCAGTGAGAGTTCTACAGTTTCATGTATATTCACAAAACTCAAGGCAAATGTAGTGGTTTCTGAGATCAATGTATGTATTACAAATTGTTATTTACAATAATATTCATCAATACATAACTAACTTGTGTAACGAGAGTCAAAACAGTTTTTTTAATACAAAAGGGCTTAAACTGATTTTACTTTGCTCCACAGTTTTATCATTTTCATACATATGCACAGTGAACAGATTTGTTGCTGTATTGTCATATGTATATATTAGAAAATATTGCAGTATTATGAGACAGAGGGGAGATGAGTGGGGAATTGCTCTTACTTTGTAAATACATTTTGCCTGTATTATATTTTGACATCAAATATGTAGTCTCATTTTAATTTCTTCATTTTGAGCAAGGAGTAATGCTTGGCCATTGTGTTGTTGCCTTCAAACGTGGTTGCATCAGTGTAGTCACCAATAGCAATTGTTGCACACGATGGAAACAATAATTCTGTTGGGAAAGCTCCTATAGAAAAACAATGTGGAGTTAGGGCTGGCTTGAGATAAAGGTGAAATATGGATATCTCTATAAAAATATATATTCAAAATAAGAGAAATTGGAATGGCATTTTACATAATCTGCAGCCAACATTTTACTTGTGGTACTGGTAGTATGACTTGACTTTGCAAGCACTGCCGCTTTCCTAAGAGTATGGTATTAGTCACTCACATGCCTATACTGTGAATATTGTAATTTCTTAGTTATTTATTCTCTGTAAGCTTCTCAGTGAGTAGGTCGTACACAGACTCTGAAAGACCAAAGAAACCAGTAAGATTCACCAGCAGGTGTAACAGTAACTAAATCTTAAAAAGTATAACGTACTTCCTTATTAGTCTAGGAGGAAATTCTCAGAAGAGCCCATCTTTCAAGATTCAATCGACACACTAAGGAAAACGTCCAACATGATTTTCCATGTCATTGTAAAGTCAAAATGTGGTACAAGTTTTTTTCTGTGACAGATTCGGGATGTGGTATACTATGTTGCTGCAAAATCATAATCTCACCCATTTTTCTGTTAACCATAAAACTGTAACTAAACATTTTATAAATTTCAAAGGTTTTGCACCACATTTTCTTATAATATTAATTTGAAGCCCGTATTATTAACCAGTCAGAAGCTGTGATTGAAAATATATGCAAAACCTATTTTCATCTTTCAACTTCATTTAAAAACATATGGGTATTTTATAAATATAAGCAAATTGTGATTTAATTTAATTTTCATCAATACTTATGTAACTTGTGTAATGAGAGTCAAAGAATTTTTTTAAATATAAATGGGCTTGAACCAATTTCAGTTTATCATTTTCATATGTACAGTCAACAGATTTGTTGCTTATTGTCAACTTATAGCAATGTGTATTATTCTTAAGTAAAAGCAATCTGATACAGATATAAGCACTACCTTGACCATAAAACTAATCAGACTGTTGAATAGAAATACTACTTCAAAATAACCTAAGTACTAATACTATGAGTTGATAGTAAACAAAGTGATCCTTTATATTAAATTGATAAGTGTTGTGACACTTTGAATTCCACTTATTGTGTGCTCAGGCTAAATGCTGACATTAGCTTTGGAACTGAAACATCTTGTGGTCAAGACGTGTTAAATTTTATACTGTAGTACATGTTATTGCAACTTTGTATCATTATGGCTAAAAGCTGTTTCATTTATCTAGAAGTAATGTGGTCTATAAACATGTAAGTAAAAATGGCTATAATAAAAATACATCATTAGTAACATGCTGAACATATGTTAGACCATATTTCAGTTGAACCTGTGTGACATGTATTTATCAATTTCATCAAGTTTATTATGTGAAGCTATGACTGACTTTGTATTGTACATTCAGTTACTCTCCAAAAGGGTGCATTCCTACTTTTGATTACTATAAATAAGAATACAGTAGTGTTTCCTAAACATCTTATATTAAATAAAAGTTATACTTCAAGGTAGAACGTGTACAGAATTGTTGACACTTCCAAGCAGAATAATTTTGTTCAAATTTACTGAAATATATTAGATATTTGCTGACAGTCAACTTATTGCAATAATTTAATATATATATATATGTACTTTCTTACAAGGTTTAATAAAGTGTATGAAGTTTGTAAGCTTTGTGGATCTTTTTGTGCAAAAACAGGGAATGATGTTACACAGCTTCTGATTGGATGTTACTGAATGAAACTACTCTTAAGTGAGATAATGAAAAACTGTCATTTTTAGGCTTTTCTGAAAGCTGTATGATTTCAAGCTCACAGAAAAAAAAAAATGCTACCACAATTTGTGTTTACAACTTGCTTCAAATCTTTAGGGGGGGGGGGGGGTCTTCTCTCACATAAAATCAAATCAGGCCATTTAATTAAAGGTTGTTGAACAAAGTTTAATAACCCAGCTCATTCCTCCTGGACTATATGTTCAGCAAAAAAACATTTGAATCTAGGATTTTGACTTCATACATTTTTCATAATTCTGTTAATTAGAGAAACTGCATATAAAGTGAAGTTTTTAATTACTTAGCTGGTAGGAAAAGGATTTTTCTAGTTATAAGTTAATCCTTTTAACTAGCATTTGATGTTTATGTCTCAAACAGATAGTAAAAAGTGAATTTCTTTAAGGTTCCAGATACTAGTTGAAAAACTAGCTAGAACTGAAGGATTCTTTCCTTATCAATCAACCTCCTTAAATCAGAAATTGCTAAAACATAAAATTCTGTATGGACCAATTTAAAGTTGTGTTCATTATAATCTTGTTCCTATTAGTTATTTTTCCTTGGGAAAATAAGTTCTAGGATGTAATAATGCCTATGAATCAATTTCATGTGAAATGGGTTAGTCCGACATGATTTTTGGACCTAGTTCGTGGTGAATACCAGTTGATAATTACTTATAATGATGAATATAAGTTAATATTTAGTGAATTATAAAGTTCTTGTAATAACTTAAAATGTAGTATACATTTTTAAATCATGAGGTTTGTAGTGTTGTTACAGCTTGAAAAATTTGCTAATATTAACCACAGTTTTGTAACTGGATAATGGCGTAGGCACATCTTTGGAAAATAATGAAGTATTCAAGATAAGACCAGCTGTTTGATTAAAAGGAATTAAAAAAGAAAGTGAAGTGGTCAATATATTACTAGCTTTGTGTTTACAAAGAAGTTGAGAACTGCTGCTTATCTTGACTGTGTTATTTATTAGAGGAACCACTAAATCAAGTCTTTATTTAAGAGTAAATTGACTATAATTAAACATTCTATGCAAATAAGTATAGAAAACAATTATATTGAAGGCCATATTTTGTGTGTGTGTGTTAACTGGTATGTCATACTAAAGCATGACGAATGGTATGGTAAGATCAAACTCATTATCAACCATTAAAATGCTTAAGTACATAATATCTTTTCCTAATGATGTGTTCATAATTGAAATTAATAGAGATTAATTTAAAGAACATAGTCAAAACATCTGGTTGTATAATAGATTGATGCAACCATTAGTATATTCATTCATGTTAAGTGTTGTCAACACTTAGTGTTATTAGGATATTATTCTGAAGTCTTGGTAAAACTATTATTCCTTTTCTCAACTTATAATTCTAACCTTTACACAAACATCATTTATTTTTCTCATCAATGTATCACTCTGTGTGTGTATATATATATATATATCCAAAAACTGAACATGTTTGGGCACTGGTGTGGCTTAGCTGCTACTTGTTTGCTGTGACAGATCTAATTTGTTCTGAAATTTTGACTTGCAGTAAAATATATATGTAACACTTGCTGAGTAAGATGTGAAATCATTTTTTTGGTTCTTTTTTTTCATATTTATTTTGTATACAGGTGTGTGTTGTGAGCTTAGTGAATACAATCATTGAATCAAACTACTAAAGGACAGGTATGTAACTGTATAAAACCAAAACACCTAGAAAAAATCCACTTTTTTTATTTTATCTGGGATTAGTAGTGTTTTGCACAAATTTTCACTGAATACAACTAAATACAGGTTGTAAGGATATTTTTTTGTGTGTTAAGTGGATATTTCAGAGAAGTTTCCTTTACCAAACTTCTGAAAAAAATCCTTTCCTTATTTATTCCTGAAATTTCAATTTTGTATGGTCCAGCTATTAAGAAAAAAAAAAAAAAACATTGTTCCAGTTTTCTTGTTTTTATCAATGCCTTTTATTGTCTAGTAATTTGCATAGATTTAATAGGGTATTGAAACGATTAAACATTTTTGATTTTTGAAGTTTTTCTTTTAGTATGTTAGTTTCTTGTAAATGGAAAACAAATGAATAAACAGGTTTACATAAAAAAATTGCCGTTTTATAATACTGCTTACATGGAAAACAAAGTAGTTGAATACACAAGTTAATGATACTAGTTTGGATTTTAAAAACATCAAAACACTGTGTTATATTAAAACATAAAGATATATAAAGATGTAAATATTTACTCAATTTGCACTAAAACACATTTTGTTAAATACTGAGTAAAGGGCTGTGCATGGCTCTAGACCTCCCAGTGGCACAGCAGTAAGTCTGTAGATTTATAAAGTTAGAAACTGGGTTTTGATACCTTTGGTGGCCACAGCAGAGGTAGCCTATTGTGTAGCTTTGTGCTTAACTACAAACAAACAAAAGCATGGCTTTGTGGCTAGTCAACCAGACTGGATTGGAAGGCCCAAGGTTTGAGATGTGATATGCCACTGAACACATTCCACATTTTCAGCTGTGAAGGCAATATAACTGTGTCTGTCAAACATGCTATTTGAATATGAGTAGCTGCATAAGCAGTAAGTGCCATTAATTAGTTCTCTTCTTCGTCAGTATTTATAAATTAAGGATGGCTGTGCTTGTGCTTCAAGGTCTGTGACTTGACAATGGTCAAACACCAGTCTTAAGTATATTTTATTGGCTATTGCAAATTATTTATAATTTTCAGAATTTTTTTATTACTCAGCATTGATTAAGTTTGAACTCAAGAACATTACCGAAACAAGTTATAGTAATTATTGAAATGTGTTGAGTTTTATCTTTTTTTGTGTGTGTGAACAGTTCCTACTTGTTGCATATAGATGTCTTTCAGTTCTCATTACCCCTACCCTCAGTTGATTTATATGGAAGAAACCAATTTTGTAAAGTTAAATTTTTAATTTAATTAATTAAGCTTACACAGAATTTGAACAGTAGAACACTATATACTGACATTTCTTTTAATTATTCCAAAAAATTGTTTATTCTTTAGACCACTTTTCTTGTACTTATAAAGTTCAACAGTTTCTTTCTAGAATTTTTCTATAACGTAGCGTGTAACTTACCCACTTGTTTCAGTATTCTATCCATTATCCATGACTAAGAAGTACCCCCCAGTGGCACAGCAGTATGTCTACGGACTTACAACGCTAGAATCCGAGTTTTGACACCCATGGTGGACAGAGCACAGATAGCCCATTGTGTAGCATTGTGCTTAATTACAAAAAAACAAACAGACTAAGAACTTGTTTAGTGAATCATTATCACAATCATCATCCAAATTATTTGTTTTAAGGTCCTTGAATGCAGTAATATCTTCGTACGTACTACAATGCTGAAGACCATGTTAGGCATTTTCTTCATCCTCTGCTAATAGTTGTTTGGCCATTCTTCAGGTATTCAATAAGTTATGTTCTCATAGAATCCAGGTTTTGATACCCGTGGTGGGCAGAGCACAGATAGCCCATTGTGTAGCTTTGTGCTTAATTACAAAAAAACAAACAGACTAAGAACTTGTTTAGTGAATCATTATCACAATCATCATCCAAATTATTTGTTTTAAGGTCCTTGAATGCAGTAATATCTTCATACGTACTACAATGCTGAAGATCACCATGTTAAGCATTTTCTTCATCCTCTGCTAATAGTTGTTCGGCCATTCTTCAGGTATTCAGTAAGTTATGTTCTCACCATGATATTTCCATAATTAATACTGATGAACAACCTTGGCATAGCATACCTTGTTATTAAAATACATAGGACATGAAATTATTGATCTTCTGTATATAGACCTTCTCAGAAGCATTTCAGCTTTTGAGATGATTTTTTTTCCTCCTCAGATTATTTAACCATACCATATTTCCATGCTAAAACCTTGAATTTTCAGTTTTCGTATTATATTAAAGTGATCACATGGTTGTTAAACAGCATTGTTCAAATGAATGGTATCATTTTAGGAGGTTTTGTATGGGATCTTATGTATAGCTACCATAGAGGAGGTGTAATAAAAACATCAGTTCTCATTCAAACTTGAGACATGCTGAAGAGTAATATGTAGCCTGAAGCATTGCATTTCTGTAACTCATTGATCTTGATTTCTAGCCTTCTGTATCTCATTCATATACATAACCAGCTAATTTATCACTATAAGGTTCTATTGAATTCCATCTGAAGGGTTGTTTCCCTGATTTGCATTATTCTTTGATTTTGCAAACTTTGCCTGACAGAACGTATTCAGTGTTCTGTCTTTATTGGAATAAGGTTTCATGGGTACTCCATAATTTAATTGAAGCTCATTGACTAATACTGTGGCAGTTTTTTCTTGGTAGTTGATTTGGTGAAACATAAGTTCTTGTAACATATTCCGTCATTGCCTTGTTATATTTCTTCCACCATTTGATTATAGCAGCACACCAAGGTGTTTAGCTGCAGTTTTTTTTTTCAAATTTTGCTTATAACACCTATGTGTGTGTTGTAATGTTATGAAGATTATGAAGTAATTTTGAGTGCAGTGATCTTGGTATTACCACTGTAGCATCTATATATATATGTATAAAAGTCACTGTCTGTTGGTAATGATCAAATTGCATCAATGGTTAAGTAGCTCGAACCTCAACTGAAAGTCTCATTTTCAAATACCAGTCTAGTTGGGATGTCTTATAATTTTTTTTTATTAATTGATCATATTTAGAGAAATCTCTTTCAATATTTGGAAAAAGACAAATATCATGATATTTTGAATATTTGTTAACATTGGATTTCAAACACTGGATGACAATGTAGCTCAGTGGTTACAGCACTTGACTCTCATGTGGAAGTCACATTCAATTCAGTTAATTTTTTTAAAGAAATTATCATATTTACAGCAAGTTCTTTCAATATCATTATAGATTAAATCTGGAAATTGAGTTATTGGTTAACATTTGAATTAAAAGATAGCATGGTTACAGCATCAAGCCACCTCAGCTTTTCATTTCAGTTGAACACTTCTAACACCATCTATGAAATAAACTGTAAGCTAAGATTCTGACTAAAACTAGAAACAGTGCAAGAAAGAAAATGTTGCTTAGCAAAAGAAAGAAGAGGTAAATGGATGGCACAACAAAATCAAGAAAGCTTAGCAAAAATTAGGATAACTGAAGCAGAAGGAAAACAACTGAAAAGGTCAAATGAATCTCCTGAAGAAAGAAAATAAAGCCAACAAACTGATGCTGAAAGACATGCAAATTGATTCTGGCCACTATGTCTTCTCCATTCGCTAGTTTCAACAATAAGGTGTTGTCTTACACCTTAATTGATTCTTACAGAGGCTAGTACATTTTGCCATTGGACTATAATGAGAAAATGCTTTCTTGCTATATGTATAATAAAATTTAATACCAGCATTATCCTAAGCTTCTTGGAGTTAATCTATAAATGTATTATGTTTATTGTTATAATAAAAAATGCTTCTAGAACTTCGGTTTGCGTCACACTAAGCTAATCATAATGCTTTTCCTGGAATTCATTATATATCTAAGCATGGTAATTTACATATAATGCAGTGAGGTTTACTCATCCAATTTTGTAAAACTGCTCGAGGAATATATAAACTCAAAGTAATTGGTCTTCAAAAATGAGTCCATAAAGTTCATAAGATGAACTTTATATTGCATAATGTGAAGCTTCTAGTGGTTAGATTAACCTTGAGGGTTCCATTTTGCTTAATCTAACCACCACTTTTAGTCTGCATTAGCCCATTCTCTGACTTATATATGCAAGCAATTTCTCATCCCTAGTGGCTGTAGATTTGGTTAAAAGTCAGCATGAAATGGCATAATGGCTCTTCTTTGGTATCATTAACTCTTGAATAAACAACAAATTTCTTATTTAAATGATGAGCAGTACTGGTAGCGTTGGTGAAACACTGATTAATTTATAAACAGCTAAAAATATTTTTATTGCATTTAACTAAATGAATTTTGTCGTTCAATTTGAACTAATCAGTGTTTTATCAAACCACCAATATTCTTTCTTGTAATATGGTAAGGTTGATAGATAATTTTGAACCAAAGAAATATATAGTTGTTAACTGTATAGGTGACAAAGATATCAAAATTAAAGAACATGTTAAACAATCATCAAGTTTTTTA